CGTATCTATTGTATGCGCACAATAAAAAATGCATCGTGTAATTAGTAGTGCAGCTTTGTTAGCTTAAAGAATGTCTCCTGTGTTGTGCTGAACCGACCGCTTCGTTACGGCGGTTCGGAAAGTGTTATCAGCTTGCTCATCGTGATGCATGCATCACTTTAACGTTCGGCCTGCTTCTGGGCGGTTGCTTTAGCTACCAGCACTGATGCTTGCACGGCGTACTGCACGAAAAACGACCGTTTGCAGTGCATTTCCATTCACAAGGCTAATAGCATCCTATGAAGCGTTGTTTGGATATGACTGCACGTAAATCGAATTCATGATTTCTAAGGAGGCCAGCTTGTTAGGCAAATCTCGGAATAATTCCTGAAGGTATTGCTTGTTCTCACTTTTTCCGGCCTCCCGTTTCTCAACCGAACAATAGTATTCTCTTTGCTGCCAATCCACGTGCTGCGCGGATTCATCGAAAAATATGCTGCGGCTTGTATTTTTTCACGGAACTATTACGAAAATGGCTGTTTGGAATGGTAACCAGAATCCACGATTACAAAGCCCAGAATTGGCAAATTACAAAGCCCACGAGAATCCCACATCTCAGGCGTACTTGCACAAAGGAGGTATGGCGGTTATTAAATTTGCACTTCATATAAACGGTAATTTCCAATGAGGCACTAGTGTCCAACACAATTCGGCAACAGATTTCTATAAGCCGTAACACACACTTACGCGTCGCACCGCCGCAATGGACAAACTGGCCGCGTCAGAACACCCTGATGCCCATGCAGTTAGACTGTTTCGATCACATTTTTTGCATTTTTTTATTGTAGTAACAACGTACACCGCACGCTTCTACAATGAAATTAAACGAATCGCAAAGTATGAAGTCGTATAACAGAAGCAACAAAAATTGAAACAAATCCTTCTTACTGCCAGTATAAGTGAACTCACAAAAGCACTGCATTTCGTAGTGTTTCAGCGATACACAACATACAACAGAAAAATCGCTACAATTAAAAAAACGCGGGCTTGCATCATGAGCTACGGTCTATCTCGCAGAAAATAAGCAGTTGTTTTTCTTAGAATACATTCCTCCTGGTCATCTTCATCTTTATATTTCATAGGTGCGACTGTTTTCCATGTGCTCGGTGGAAGCCGTCTGTCTGCTTCTTCTACACTGGTTACATTTCGGAACAATAGGATTGTTGTCAAATTAGCTGTAGATTAGCCACAGAGGTAACACCATTAACAAAATTTCTCCTTCTTCAATTTCTCCTGGCCATCATCATCTTTTTGCTTCTTCAAATTCTCCTGGCCATCTTCATCTTTCAGCTGCTTCACTCTCTCCTAGCCATCTTCATCTTTCTGCTGCTTTTAATTTCTCCTGGCCATCTTCATTTTTCTGCTGCCTCAATTTCTCCTCCGCATCTTCATCTTTCTGCTGCTTCAAACTCTCCCGGCCATCTTCATCCTTCTGCTGCTTCAAATTCTCTTTGCCTTCATCTTTCTTCTTCAAATTCTCCTGGTCATTTTCGTCTTTTTGCTTCGCCAAATTCTCCTGATCATCTTCTTCTTTATGCATCTAACATGCTCAGTGGAAGTTATCTATTTGCTTTCTCCGTTGTGGACATTTCTTGGAAATAAAGAATAATTCCTGAACAGCTGTGACAAACATTATCCCCACTGTTGCTCCATTCCTGGCAGCTTAAGCTTATTCGCACGTGCTGGATACAAACACCAGTTTCATATAAAATGCGAAATAGGAAGAAAATGCATGCGGCTTGGCGTCGTAGGCAGTTCGTGCCGATGCTCCAGAACAACAACTTTCCGTGCCACTCGTTGTTCCGTTCCTGAATTCCATCAGTAATCGCCCACAGAACCGTGCAGAAGACTGGTCAATCATCACCAGTCTAAATAGTGTTAAGCAGATCGCTGAGTTTCTTGGTCAAGTTAGTGCAGTTCGCCAGCAAGAAACTCAGTTTAAAGCCGCTCCGATATTGGCATACAGGTTAAGAAGAGTGTCAGATAAAATTGTGACTAAACTGGCTGCTTCTCTCACTTTTATGCATCAACAGGAGCAACATGCTAATTTCCTACAGTGTGCTAGTTTTCATGCATTTTTATGCATTTTTGCATATATGCAAATTACAAAAACACATATTGGAAAGAGGCAGTGTGTATATGTGTGTGTGTGTGTGTGTGTGTGTGTGTGTGTGTGTGTGTGTGCATGTCTGTGTGCGTGTCTGTGTATTCGCATTCTTTGTCATCCACTTTCGACTCGAGAACCAAAAAGCTAGAAGGCTGAAAATTTCGGAGTATGTGCACATACCATGCGCAACTCTCAGTTTCAATTTCACCCCCTGCGGACACCTGGGTGCCGCGTACGAACGTTTTAAAAAATATGCAAATTTTTTGGCGGGAAGGCGAACTCGGGAACCACACAAGCTAGGGGACTGAAACTTTGTAGGGATATTCCCTGTGCATGTGATAGCTAAAGATTTCAAATTCAGCCCCCAGGTATGCGTGGTACTCAAGTAAGAGAGTGTGAATGTTTTAGCGGGGAAGTTGCTAACTCGGAAATCAGGAAAGCTAGAAAGCCGAGATTTTTGGGGAATATTCCCTATCCAAGTGCAACTCAAATATTTAAAATTCAGCTCCAAGCTATGCGTGGTACTCACGTAAGGGAGCATGAAGTTTTTTGCAGAAGAACCACCAGAAAAGCTGAAAGACTGAAATTTTAAAAGGAAGCTCCCTGTCCACGTGCATTTTAAAAATT